GGGGAGTGTGTGTCTGTGTGTGGGGAGTGTGTGTCTGCGTGGGAAAGTGTGTGTCTGTGTCTGGGGAGTGTGAGGCTGGTGAGTTCGCACCTGTGTACGTGCGTGGGTGGGAGGGCTGGCTTGGAAGCAGGGCTGTTTCCCACAGCGATGCGGATGGCACAACCCTGAGCCTGCCTCGTCCAAAAGGAGCCTGTTTCCTCTGGCACCAAAAGCCCACCCTGCTGGTCCCTTGGGTGGGTGAGGTGAGCGAGAGGGACCAGTGGACGTCCTCTGGAATCAGCCCACACCTGAGCAGACGGGCCGGGCCAGCCTCCCTGCATGGACCCCAGAGACTCTCCCTCCACTCGTTGCAGGGGTTTACTTCCCTGCCCTGACCAGCCTGCTGTCGCAGAAGGTGCGGGAGAGCGAGCGAGCCTTCACCTATAGCACCGTGGGCGCTGGCTCCCAGTTTGGGTAAGTCCTGGCCTCAGGCGGGGCCCAGGAGAGGCCACCAGGTGAGCCCCTTGCTGGGTGGCCCCTGGTCCAGGTAGGAGATGGGTCAGGTGGGCCTGCAGGGCCACCCGGGGTGGGGCGTCGTCTGGACTCCGCAGCCCGAGGCCGTGCTCTGCAGGTGCACGCCCCAGGCACTGTGCTTGCTTGGTGCATAGTTCTGCCTTTCTGGGGTGGCTGCAGGTGATGAGGCTGGGACTTGGGGACGTGGATTGGGGGAGTGGCCACATCACCTCATTTCCTTTCATCTGTGCTAACAAAGCCACAAGCTCTCCCCACCCTCCGTTGCTCCCCTTGCCCCTGCCCTGACAGGAGAGTCTGTGAACCCCAAGCGTCCTGGCCAGGGTGGGCCTCTGAGCTGGCTGGAGGGCGACTTGTCCTCAACCACAACGCAGCAACCCTGTGCCCCTCAGTCTTCCTTCCCAGCGCCGCTCCAGACCCTCTAGTGATGCTGGCGGCCTGGGCGAGGCTGGGCCTGGGGTGGGAGGCCTTCCCAATGGTTGTAGCAGGGTGGACAGATGCCTGAGCTGCCAAGGTCTTCTCAGTGGCCGGGCTCAGACCCTCAAGTTACTAAGGTTCAGAGGGGTGGAGGCGGCTCCTGTGGGTGGGGCTGTGGGCAGCCCCAGGCAGGCCTAGGGTGACAGAGTCATCAAATAAAAACAGACTGCCCAGAGGAATGTGAATTTCAGATAAACCAGAGGGCAGATACTTCTACTGAAGAATGAGTCGGCCAGGCGCGGGGGCTCACGCCTGTAATCCAAGCACTTTGGAGGCCAAGGCGGGTGAATCACCTGAGGTCGGGAGTTCAAGACCAGCCTGACCAACATGAAACCCCATCTTTAAAAAAAAAAAAAAAGAAAGAATGAGTTCTCACTGACCCGAAACCCGGGTTCACGGGGTGTCCTGCGCTTTATCTGCACTCGGGTGGGGAACAGAGAGGGGGTAGAGTACGGGCTGGGAGGGGCAGGAAGAGTGCTGCCCCCAGCCTGCCCTGGTGCCCAAGCCTGAGCCCGGCTGCCAGGAGCTGTGCCCGCCCACAGAGGCTCAGCAGGAGGAAGGAGGCCCCATCTGGATGCCAGGCCCCACTCTGGGTCTCTCCCTGTCTTCCTCTTTTTGCCGTGGTGGTAACTCTTTCTCCGGTGCCAATGGAACAGCAGATGGGGGCTGGGGCCAGCCAGGTTGCACCCAGCAGGGAGCCTGCGAGTGCACCTTTGGGACAGTGAGATCGTGGGGACAGGGGATGGGGTTGTAGGATTTGGCTGTTGTGGAGTTCTTGCATCTAGAAATGTTTTTTGAAGTTTATCCCCAATCATGTTTGAAGCACAAGAACCGTGTACAGCTTCACTGCAGAATATTCTCTTCGCCGTCTCCTCCCCGTTGCCGTTTTTAGTTTAAAAGGATCCGCGTGACGAAGCCCAGGCCAGCCTGAAGGCCTGGAAGCAGGATGTGAGGAGCTGCCTGAGTTCTGCAGCTGTCGCCCCTGACTGGGACACGCGTGGCTGACTCCAAATCTGCGCCAGCCTGTGTCCGCTGAATACCCGAAATCCTTCACAAAATAGGCCAGGATGGGGGCTTCGGAGCTGCTCTCTAAAGGCGATGAAAGCACCCTTTTCCAGGGGCTCAGCCTGCACCAGGGTGGGGTTTCGAGAGGCCGTCCTTGCCCGAGGGGGCCTGGCCACGCTCCCCTGTCTTTGCAGGACGCTGCTGACCGGGGCGGTGGGCTCCCTGCTCCTGGAATGGTGCGGCTGGCCGAGCGTCTTCTATTTCTCCGGCAGCCTCACCCTCCTCTGGGTGTGGTACGTGCACAGGTACCTGCTGAGTGGAAAAGGTAACGCAGGCCGGGCGGGCTCGTCCTGGGCAGCCAGGCCGTCCGGTGCCTCCTCCCACGGCGGCTCAGGGGCCTGGAGACGGCAGCTTTGACCTCCCAAAGAACCCACCAGACTCCAGCCCGAGGAAAGGCGCTTGGGCGCTGAGCTCTCAGCAGCTCTGCCACCAAATTCAGTCTGGAAGTTTCCATTTAGGGAAACTTCCAGGAAGACCTGCTGGTCTCAGGTCACGGGGGGGTGCAGGAGCAGCCGAGTCTGTGGGTGGCCCAGAGGGGCTCCCCAAAGCCCCTGAACGTGGGGAGGGTGTTCAGAACACGGTTCTCAAAGGTGACACTGCCCTTTTGGTGCCTGGTAGGGAAAGACACGGGAGGCTGGGGCCTGTGTGTAGCCTGGGGTGTGGGCGAGGCCTGCTGACCCGTCTGGAACCGCCCCCAAATCCCCAGTCCTTTGGGAATGGACAGCGCCGCCCGCCCTGCTAGCCATCGCCTTGAAACTGTTGCTCCCACAGACCTTGTCCCGGCCTCGGGTGTCCTGGCCCCAGGCCTGCTGGTGACCAGGCACAGCAGAGTCCCCTGGAGGCGGCTCTTCCGGAAGCCTGCTGTCTGGTGAGCCCCTCAGAGCAGCGGCAGGGCTGGTGACCATGGGGTGTGAGCCTGGCTGGACCCGACAGGCCCTGAGGCCCAGGGCTCAGAGGTGGGGCTCTGGCCCCCAGGGGAGAGGGGTGGGTCCCACAGTCTCCCCGGCCTTCGTGGCGCCAGAGTCACGGTCTGCTGCCTGGCCCCGCAGGGCGGCCGTCTTCTCCCAGCTGTCTGCGGCCTGCTCCTTCTTCGTCCTCCTCTCCTGGCTGCCCACCTTCTTCAAGGAGACCTTCCCCGACGCCAAGGTAAGCCCAGCCGGGGGCTCCCGTGGGGCGGAGTGCCCAGAAGGCATGAGGCTTGAGCTGCTCTAGGTGCCCTGGGTCCTTCGCCTGCAGATGGGGGTACCCTCGGCTCCTCCCGGACTCTGATGGTCCTGGAACCGCCGGGCTCTTCCTCTGGAGAGGACCCTGTCCGGGCACGGGGCAGGTGTCCGTGTTTGAATCTGAAAATAATGTGGGTGCTCCATGCCTTCCTGCTGCGGCTGCAGCCCTTCCAGCTCACAACGGTGACCTGCTGGCCTGCAGAGCCTGACTTCAGGGCCCACAGAGGCCGGTGCAGGAGCCAGGATGCGGACAGAGGGGTCACCTGCGGTCAGCACGGCTCCTTCTCCAAGGCCGTCCTGCTGCCCTCCCGGGCAGTGGTCAAGACTCCAGAGCTGCACAAGCCCAGGGGTGGGGCTGGCCCTGCTGGGCACTGGTGGGCATGGGGGCTGGCCAACCTGAGTATCCTTTTCCAGATGGCCCCTCTGAGGCCACGCTCCTCCCTGCAGGGCTGGATCTTCAACGTGGTGCCTTGGTTGGTGGCGATTCCTGCCAGTGTATTCAGCGGATTTCTCTCTGATCATCTCATCAATCGGGGTGAGCCCCAGGGAGAGGACGGACCGGGGCCATACCCCGGTTCACTGTACTTTCGAGGGGCCAGGGGTGCAGCCTCAGCATACGGAGAGCTGGGGCAGAGGGGCACTGCCCAGCTGGGCACTTCCTTCCAGGCTCAGCCTCCTCCTTTTTTTTTTTTTTTTTTTTTGGGGAGGGGGTTTTCTCTTTTTTCCCAGGCTGGAGTGCAATGGCGCAATCTCGGCTC